TTCCTAGTTACCCACCTACATGTGAGACAGGCACAGATATTGTATTCATTTTCTAGAAGAGGAAACTGGGGGCACACAGGCACCGAGTAACTTAAAACGCTGTAATTGAAGCTAGAATTCAAACCCAGGAAAACTTTCCTTCCACAGTTTTAGCTAAGGTGGCACTCTGTTCTGAGGTTTGCTTTTACTCTCTCCAGCCCTTTCTTCCTTCTGATTTTAATCTTAGCTCAGGCAGGCCTGGAACTAGCTATATAGCCAAGGACGACTTTAAACTCCTGATCATCTGGCTTTTCCCTCCAGCGTGCTGGAATCACAGGTGTGCGCATCAGCCCTAATTTATTTGGTGCTGGGGATCCAGCCCAGGGCTTCATATATGCCAGGCAAATTCAACTCCAACTGCATTACATTCTCAGCCCATTTTTAAATTGCTTTTCTTTTTAGACAAGCTCTCCCGCTATAACCCAAGCTGGCCTCAAACTGTTAAGTCCTTTGCCTGTAGCACGAATTCTAATTGGCATTAATAATAAAAACTAGAAGTCAGCTATAGGGGTTAATGCTGCAGATCGGAGGAGCAGAGTTGGCCAGTTTTTACCTCTACCAGTGCTCAGGCCAGACAGGCCATCCTATCTCTACAAATCCCCAGACTGCTCTCCAGACCACAATGAGCTCCTGTCTCTTCGCACCTTATATTCTTCTCTCCGCTCAGCTATATCACTCCTGTCTCTACCTCCCCAGTGCTGGGATTACAGATTTGAGCCACCACCACTTGCCTTTGTTTCTCTTTTAGACTGACTGAATCTCGTGTAGATCACGATGGCCTTGAACTCAGAGGTCCGTCTGCCTCTGTCTCCCGAGTCCTGGGATCAAAGATGTGTGCCACCACTGTAGAGCCTTAAGTAGCTTAGCTTTGCACTCAGATCTTCAGGAAAGCTTTATTTGTTAAAACACAAACAAAACATTACTATATTCATCAATCCTCACAAGTGAAAGGATTATAGTCGAGAAGGTCATCTTTTCATTTTTAATTTAGAACAGGTGACAATGTTTTTACTTCCTCTGACATCAGCATAACTCTCTGGTCAACTTTCACTATCTGTGGTAATTAAGGCAGAGTATACAGACACAGCTCAGAAAAGCTAAATCTTAAAACATTTTCTTCTTGTTGTTTAATTTTTTTTTTTTTGAGACAGAATCAACTATGTAGCTCTGGCTGTCCTGGAACCAAGGTGGTCCTGAAAAGCAGAGATTTGCCTGTCTCTGCTTCCCAAGCACTGTGCTTAAAGGCATGTGCCACCATGAACTGCCTGTTTCATTTTTGAAGTAGAGTTGGAATTTATTTAAAGGGGATATTTTCAGTGTGAGTGTATGAATACATGTGTGTGCACATGTGTAGAGGCAAGGGTATTGTTAATCAGGAGTCAGGAGATGTGCACGTTTTTTGAGCCTAGGACTTGCAAATTAGGCTAGGTTGGCTAGCTAATCAGCACAGGGATCCATGTGTCTCTGCCTTCCCAGCCCAGGACTACAAACCCTTGTCACCAAGCTTGGTTTTTTATGTTGTTACTGGGAATGAACTCAGCCCCTCATGCTTCAGCAGTAAGCAATTTACATACTGAGCAATTTACCACCTTCCCAGTCCCAAAAGGAGATCTGAAAGATAAATTTAAACACAGATGTTAAAATAAAGAGAGAAAGAATAAGACCCACCCAGAAATGTGAACTTGGGCTTCTCAGAGGAAAGTTGGTTCTTGAATTTTTTTCTTGAAGACGTAATCACAATTTAAGATGATGTGTTAAAGGTACAGAAGAACATCAGGGTGTTGAGGCTGGCATTCATGTTCTTTCCACACTATTTGTGGCTAAACTTAGTGCCTAGAGAACAAAGATGGAGACTTCAAAAGCTTAAAGTATTGAACTTGGATTTCTAAAACGACATCTAAATAGCATAAACTTTATATTTAGTTTTTGTTTCGTTTGTTGAGACAAGGTCTCATCTGTGTAGCCTCAGCTGACCTGGAACTCCCTATGTAGATGGTGAGTGGCCTTGAACTTGTGATCTTCCTGCTCCTGCTTTTCAAATGCTGGCATTGCCCAGATGTGCTACCATACCCTATTTTGTTTATGTGTCATAAACTTTGAAGAAATCGATGTAAGATTTGGCATGATTTGCACTCTGAACAGTGTGCCCTTCTGCCTACGAGCACTACCAATTCAGCCATTGGGTTGATTCTTCTGCCTTGCAACAGACCTAGGCTGTATCATGAAGCTTAGGCCCAGATGGGTAGTTCATAAATGTTCGTGTTGTTAAGAACCTACTTTTTAATTTCCCTGTGTGTCTTTTGTAAACTTTACCTTAATTAGTATGTAGGCTTTGGTTTAAGGGTGGCTTTCAAAATGGCTGCCTGTGGTATTTGGGGTATTTAAGTTTGTTGTTCATCCAGAAGGTATAAGGGGGAAAATCTTTCTTTCAAACCATGGGATGCTAAGCTTTATTCTTTGAGGCTAATCAAGCCACATATGGATTGACTGAGACAAATTTGGACTCAGCCTCTCTGTGTGTGGAGGGGCTGGATATCTGCAAACAGTGGGGGTTCCTTTAGTAGGGAGAGCGAACAATTAGATGCTGAGGAGGCTCTGAAGCTGGTTCTCCATCTGGAAGTGGGGAGACTCTTGCTGAGATATGTGAGAATTAGACATAATGTGTCTAACAGTATTGGGTTGTCCAGTGTAGCAAATAAAAACAGAGGATACCCACTGTGATGTGAATTTCAGATAAACAGCAACTTATTTTTCAGTTTCTACAAAGCCTACAAATTTGTTTAGTTTGCATAGAAGGGCATTTCATAAGATTCCTTTTGGACAGGGATTAAAAGGCTTACTCATTCTTCTAGCCTTGTCCTGAATGTATTTGGGATAAAAAATAGACGTATCAAAAGTTATTTATTGTTTATCTAAAATTCAAATTTATGGGAGGTAGCCTCTATTTTCTCTGTCAGCTTTAAATATCTGTAGAATTTTTAACATAGCAGCAGGCATTCGCAGGGAACTATTACTGCTCTTTTAACATAAGAAAAGACCTCAGGTAAATGACAGCATGGTATTTCTGAAAAACACTTAAAATGTCTAGTTTTCTCTCAAAAGAAGAATTAACTGAACTGGATGTGCTGCCATAAACCAGTGCTGAAAACCAGATCGAAACAAATGCTCCGCAGTGAAAGGCCGTGTTTGCCCATGGTATCACACATTGGAAAACATCTAATATAGCTACATAAAATGACACTGAACTTAAATCTGTTGGCATTCTGCCTTTTTTTCTTGCCTTCTTCTCAGTCTATTCAGATAAACCATCCTATATTTGATTCCAAGGCACTGCTACTGAAATTTCTAGTACAAAGGCATTGACAGGGGGTGATAATGCAGCGATTGTCCCAGGAATTCTGGCTCCACGTGGGTGAAAGTGAAGCATGAGGTCACAGCACTGTTATTTTGCAACTGGAGGAGGCAGGAGCCTCTGCAGAGCCTGACTCCATTTTCACCTCATTGTTAATCCACCGCTCCTACCTGGAAAATTGGCTAATATGCTTCCTGAGAAAGTAGATGCCTTCAATTGCTTATGAAATATTCACCATGTTATGAAAAAGGAAATCTTATTGACTTGGAATCGAGTGGATAAATCCATTACATAGCTACCTGTCATTACCAGATTCAAGACAAGAGTAGATTAAATAGATTTTATCCAATATATCTATTTCCTGTTACAAACTGCTATTTCGTATTTGGTGGCATCTTCGACCTCATACACTACTTATTTTCTGTCCCTTCCTAAAACCCAGAAAACCCTTATCCTTACTCTCTTCTTTTAAAAAGTGTTTCAAAATCATCATGCAGCTTTTCGTAGATTTGTCTGCAACGTCTTTAACAAAATCATTTCTTCTTTTTTTATTTTTTAAAAGTGCACTGGGACTATATTTGTATCTCATCCCCTATTCATCCTCATTGGAAACCTTATCCACAGTGGGTATTAAGATTTTTACATTTCTACTGGCCCGACAATGACTTCATTGCATTTTTACCAGCTGGGGAATCTTGTAAGGCAGAGCATCGGACCGGAGTAGAGTTGTGGGTTGATGCCGCAGCCGCTGCCGCCGCGGTTTGCACACGTCCAGCTGCTGTGTAAGGAATCCTCTGGCTGCCAGTTCTTTGCTCTTAAGTCACCCCAGGGGATCGCAGGCTGCTAGATGAACGTGCATAAGAATGTGTTTGCGCGCGCGTGCACGCACGGCTGCAACAGTTAGGGAGCAGCAATAGACTTCGTTACCATTTTTTTTTCTAAACCAACGACCGAGATGAGCCAACCTTCGTCCTTTATTTTCAAGCAGTGCCCGGGCTCCCGCCCGAAATGCGCTCCCCGCCCTCCGCCCACTCCGCGCACGGGTCTCCAGGGAGGGAGGCGAGGATAACTGCGCTGCAGGCAGGATTCCCCCTTTCTTTTTCCACTGCAGTGACAGGTGGATTCCCGAGCCTCCTCACCCCGCCTCAACCCCTCTCTCAGTCACGATTCCGCCCCCCCACCATTCCTCCCTCACTTCCCCCTCCCCAAGTAAGCTCCTAGCTCGAGCACCGCCCCTCCTATTCTCGCAGCCCAGGTTGTAATGGTCTGGCTGAGCAACCAAACCTGGTGCGCCAGGAGGAGCGTCGCGAGCGCGCAAAAGCGCGTTCGTGTAGCAGAGAACAAGTACAAGAAACTCGCGGTCTAGGATTTCGGGGATTCGAGAACGAGCGGCGTGGGCGGGGCGCGCGAGCCCGAGCCCGAGCACGAGCGCTTTCTCTTCATTGGCGCCTATCAGAAGTAGGCGGGGCCAAGGCGGGACCTAGCGGGATGAGCAGAACTTGTCCATTGGTTCGAATGGGCAGACCGGGGGCGTGGTAAACAGCAAATTAGGCTGCGCGTTCGCTCCGGCAAGAGGGCGGGGCCGGAGGTTTCGATTACTTGTCGCTGCCGCTAGGGAAGGTAAAGCGGTGACGGCTGCCGCGGGAGTGGAGGCTTCCCCAGTAGTGGTGGGGGACTCAGCACGGTGAGTAGTTTTGTCCGCCCGTCAGGTCGTCTCACATTGGCGGTGTGTCTACCAATTTGTCCCTAGAGAGAACCCAGTTGGTCCACTCAAGAGAGTGATAGAAGGGGCACCGGCGCCGGTCCCTCCACAACGGGGCGACGAGCCGAGGGCGTCCCAAGCTGGAGTCTCTCTAGACGACCCACCACGCGTCTCGAGGGGCTTCCCGGTAGGGCTGGGGCTGCGATTTTTTGGAGCTGGGAGACAGAGGGGCTATGCTAGAGGGACAGTGAGTCGAGGCTGGACCCGGCGGAGCTCCCCTCTGCTGCAGGTCTGCGGTGTCCCCACCCCACTATCCCCGTGGCCAGGGCTCTCCGGGGCTTGCAGCGAGGGGAAACCCTTTTGCGCTAGCACTGAAAAGGGCCCCGAACCCCCGCCCAAGTTCCTAAAGAGCCGGGACCCGCCAGCAGCTGCGACTCGTAACCCCGGTCCTTCTGACCTTGGCTGCCCGGGAGGGTGGGCGAGCGCCCTGCCTGCAGCCCCGCAGGTTTCTGCCACCTTCCACGGGACAAGTTTTTCAGGCGTTGCTGTGAAGTTCACGGCTGGCGTGCTGGCAGGGAAGCAGAAATTGACCCCTTCTCAGACCTTCCTACCCTTTGGACCTTAATAGAAATTGAATCCTGGGGTTTGAAACCATCTGCCAAAATGAACAGGTCTTTCTCAAATTGACACGTTTTTTTTCTTTTTCTTTCTTCTTTCTTTTCTTTCTTTTTTCCCTTCTTTCTATCTTTCTTTCTTTCTTCTTCTTCTTCTTTTTTTTTTTTGTGCCCACGTTGGGATAAAAAATAACCTGGGCAGATTTCAGTGTTAAAGCAGATCTTTCTTGAGGGTTTTGTTTTTTCGCTTCACTTGAGTGGTATGGCACAGATGCTTGAATAAGAAAAGCCTGACCTTATATCTCTCCAGACAGACTAGAAGGATGCTGTGATATTTAAATAGTTGCAGATCAGTATTCTGTTAACACAATTTATTTTTAATTGGCTGAAATTTAAGCTGATTTTAGAAAGTATTGACACAGAATAATTTCTTTCCGCGCATCTGATTTAGGCTTGTTTGAATGTAATGGTTATGTAGGCAGTATAAAAGATTACACAAATTAATTTGTCTGAGAGCATTTGAGTGAAAACAGGAGGCATAAATATGTATAGGATATAGGATTAGGGTTTTAGGTAACATCTGCTGGAACACTTCCAGCTAATTTCTTTCTTGCTGTAGGGTTACAGAGAGAGAGAAAAAGAGAAAGAGAGAGAGAGAGAGAGAAAGAGAGAGAGAGAGAGAGAGAGAGAGAGAGAGAGAGAGATTTTTACCGGTGACACTTTGGAATTACAAAATGCATAATATTTGAATGTAAATTCATTTTTAATTCTTTTAAGTATTTTAAAATATTTTCTTAAACTGTGAAGAGGCTATGTTTCCTTATCCCTGTATATCTGGTCTTGAAAGGGAGAGTATGATCTTACATTTAACAACCCAACTAGGATTCATTAATAATAAAAACATAAAAGGCCTCCATCTTCCGAGAAGATGGTATTTGAGTACCTAGGAAGCATTTTCAATTCTTTATTAAAAGTACTATTTTAGGTTGGTGCATTTTTGGCATTGATGCTAGAACGGGAGTAAGGAAGCCTGCAGCAGTATTACCAGTTTGACACCGCCAGTGGGTGTTTCTGTTGACAAATGCAGAGAGGAGAACATTTGGGAAGGAGATTTTTTTTTGGGGGGGTGGGATGGGGTGGGGTAAGGAGGGTAGGTGAGGGGAAAAGGAGCCAGAAGAGAGAAGCTGTAGAATTAACGCTGCCAACATTGTGTGTGCTGGGCATTGCACAAGTACAGGGGAACCTAATTAGGGAGAAAAATACCATTTGGCTGCATTAAAGAATAGAACTCCAAAAGAGGCATACTAAATAAAGTTAACCATTCCAAGAGTGATTAATAACCCGCCATTTCTGAGTACTTGGGAAGAGGGCTTCTCTCTTGAAAAGGGCATCAAATCCTTTTGAGTTGGCTTGCCTTTTAAACATAATCAGTGCAATGGTTCATTTGATAGGTAGAAATAGAAACAGTTTACTGTTCTTATTGTGTTGATTTAGCATAGCCCCTAAGCCTAATTTTTTAAATGAAAATAACTTGATGTTATTTTATAATTAGAAAAATTATTCAGAAATAAAATCCCTTTCACTGGAAGCATTGCTTTTGTCATTGCTCAGTCTTATAATTTATTAAAGATTAGGGACTTCTTAAAGCCCCCCCCCCCGTGGTTTTGATTCTTTTCTTGTTTATGCAAGGGTCCTAATTAAATCTACCATTATATGTTCTTGGAGTTATTTAAGTCACAGACATCTACTCTGCTCCCTGGGGTTTTATAAAGGAAAGGTTTCTATTGAGAGAAGTTGCAGGGCCATCTCACATAAATAATAGAAGGTTGACTGATTGCGAATTAAATGTATTCTGTTCCAGATATTCTACAGTTGAGAAGAATCAGACTTTACGAGGCATTTTCTGTTTCAAAGGTGCAGTATTCTTATACTACAAACCTTAACTACAGAGGTGGAGAAATTCCTATCAGTATGCATTTCCCCCAACTTGTTTCTTCACAGTGGCTAAAAACCTATGAGAGATTCTCAGCCACAGTTGAATTATTGGAAATGACAGCAGCTCCTCTTACAGAAAGTTAGCCTTTCAGTAGAATTTGCATTTCAGTTTTCTTAATAATAGGAAGTTGAGGCATAGCTGGGAAATCATCTGGTAGAAAATTTGTAAAGAATCAAGCATGGGAATATTTTCTTACCTGCTTAAAATTTCATCTTTTTCCTTCTTCCATTTTGACAGTTTTGGTGGTTATTTCCTTCATTTTAGTAGAATTTTTAGTGTTTGACTATTTAAAGGTGTGCTAATATAAAATCGCATTTTTTGGCAGTTATTGTGAGAGTATGATACTCCAGTATAACAAATTGATGTCAGATAATAGCATGAGGCATTTACAATGAACAAAGCAATCAACTTGCATGGATCTGAAACAGGAGGGAGATCTTTTATATAATCCTTAACTTTAGTACAAAAGCAGCAAGATTTGAAGTATTTGGTTGTTTTCTGATTAGAAAAGATTTCACTCAGAATCAGATAATTTTGGATCTTAAGGTTTTATTCTTGGCAACATCAAATTCCTTGACAGAGGAGAAGATAAAATGTCAGAGGTTGTCTGGTAATTGTGTCAGTTCGGACAATAATGCCATCAAAAGACAGTATTTAGAGCTGGGGATGTGACTCAGAAGAAGAGTACATGGCCCGGTGTTGGATCCAAGTGGAGTAGGACAATAGTCAGCATTTCAGCTCTCTGTAGAGTATCCACTCTGCTTTCAATCTGAAACTCAACATTGATTTTTTTTTTTTGATTATTCACACTTTTGGCATTTGGATTTTTTGTTTGTTTGTTTTTAGATAGGGTCTCATTTTTAGTCCAGGTTGGCTTAGAACTAACTCACTATGTATTCCAGGCTGGCCTGGAACTTGTAGCAATACCCTGCCTCAGCTTCCTGGGTGCTGGAATTGCTGGCATGAGCTACTATGTTTGATCTAGATTTAATTTTTTATATTTTTGATATATAAAATATAAAAATTTTATATTTTGCCCCATATATCTTTATATGGGGCAGTGAATGTGTCAGTGAATTACTCAAAGATTGGGTCTCATTTCTGTTAGAGTTTATACATTTCTTAATTCGGAGATAGGAATTTGGGAGGCAGTTCTGTCTGTGGATATGAAAACCGGGACCAAGGACTTTCAATCTTAAAGAGATGTTTATCAGTTAAACATTTCAGATTTGGGGATTAACAGAAAATTATTTATTGGGTTAAATGGACCAGGCTCTTGGAAATTTGTTAACACTTCAAATTAAGGTTTTTACATAAAGACATTTGTTTTGGGGGGTCGTTCTCATCAGAGTCAAGTTTGGGGTGCAGTCTTTGTTTTGTATAGTCTGCTCTATAATTCTCACAGTGCTATGCCTATTGAACCTTTCTGCATACCAGATGCTGTGGCAAATTATTTATTCACACACATGCACGTGTGCTCACAGCCTTTCTCCAAGGTAGATATTTTCCTTATTTCTCATGTACATGTCAGACGGGGCGCAAAAATAATTTGCACATATTAGCTAGCTAGTCAGCAGAAGAGGCAAAATTGCCATCCAAACCGGTCTGACTTGAAATTGTACTTTCCCAAGCCCTGTTTTCTGCTTCTCTATAAGAGTGTGGTTCCTAAAGCCTGTTTTGAGTTCATTCTTTATGTTGTGCCTGGGGAGTCCTGGATGTATAAATTTGTTTTCTGGGTTTGATGGGCCTCATTGGCAAGGATGCCTGGTGTTTTGTCACGTAGGGGACTGGATCTATCAAAGCTGCTGGTTAGGACAACCGTAAGTATCGGGTTTTTGCAACACAGCCTCATTGGTTTGATTCCTTCATAAATGAAAGTCGTATATGTAATTATATATGTCCAAAATGAGATAATTGTTTCAGTTAAACACTGGGTGCTTCATGTTTATGCATATTCATTGTAGCTTTTCACTGTCTGATTAAATTTACTATACTAATAAAGGCTTTGAGGATACCCACTGAATTCAGTTTTGTCTTTATGTGTATGTGTTGCTAGGGATTGAACCCAGGGTATTGCACATTCTAAGCAAGTACTCTACAACTAGCTGTAATCCTAGTAGTATCCTCCCAGTCTCCCTTTCCTTCCCCAGTGCAGGTTCCCAGTAAGTTACCCAGGTGATCCTTGCAGTTACCCTTTGTATCCCAGGCAGAACTTGACCAATCTTTTCTTGCCTTGATGCAGAATTCTGCCCATAGCTGCAATTACAGGCTCGAACCACCAGAGGCCTGGCTAGATGTACTTTTGAAGTGGCAGCTGTTAGAATTTACAAATGTACATCTTTTTAGGAATTATAATGACTTAAAGTAAAATAAAATTGAGAGGTAAAGTTTAAAGAGGTGCATTATTCTTGTTTAACTTTTTTTATTTATGTGTATGTGTCTGTGGATATCCAAGAGGCCAGAAGAAGGTTTCCAGATCTCTGGAGCTAGAGTTAGAGGAAGTTTGGAATTGGCTGAACTGCCTGATATGGTGCTGGGAACTGAACTCTGGTCCTCTGGAAGAACAGAGCAGCAAGCCCTTCCAACCACTGAGCCATCTTTCTGGGCCCTTATTCTTGTTTCTTTTTTCTTTTTCCTTTTTTTTTTTCTGAGACAGGGTTTCCCTGTGTAACAGTTCTGGCTGATGTGAAACTCTCTCAGTATACCCTGCCAGCCTTGAACTCACAGAGATCCACAAGCCTCTGCCTTCTGAATGCTGGGGTTAAAGGCATGCGCCATCACTCCTGGAGTAATTCTTGTTCCTTAATAAAAAAAAACCAATAGTAAACAGATATTGAACTCTAATGAAATCTTTTCTGTTGAAAATAGAATTTTGGGCCTGAGATGTAGCAATTTCGGTAGAATTCTTGCCAGATTTTCCAAAAGTGCTAGGTTGGATCCCCAGCACCACGTAAACAGGAGGTGGTGGCATAGATCTGTATTCTCTAGCTTTCAGGAAGCTCCAAGTTCTAACCCTCCATAAACTGTGCATGGTGGCATATGCCTGTAATCCCAGGACTTGGGAAACATGCACATTAAATCATCAAGGTCCTTAGCTACATAGTGAGTTTAAAACCAGCCATATGACCTTTTTAAAAGGTAGTTTTAGTTTTTTTGGGTTTTTTTGAAAGATTTATTTATTATGTATACAATATTCCTCTTGCATGTATACCTCCATGCCAGAAGAGGGCACCATATCTCATTACAGATGGTTTTGAGCCATCATGTGGCTGCTGGGAATTGAACTCAGGACCTCTGGAAGAGCAGCCAGTGCGCCCAACCTCTGAACCACCTCTCCGTCCCTAACAGATAGTTTTTTTACTTAAAACTTTGTGGTGGTGATAATAGTGGTGATGATGATGAGGAAGAGGATTATTGATGATGGTGATTTTTCTTTACATTTTTATTACATTTATTTAATGGGGAGTAGGTAGTCATACACATTCCATGGCATTTGTGTGTAGGTTGAAGGAAACTTGGCAGGAGTCTCTTTTCTACTTGTACCATGTAGGCCCCAGGAATTGAACTCAGGTGGTCAGGCTTGGTGGCCAGTACCTTCATGGGCTGAGCCATCTCACCAGCTACATTATTTTTAAATCAAGACCCATCAATCATTATGAGAGCCAAATTGTTGAAGCGTAGTTTCAAAGAATAGTTAGAGGTTCATGTGAAAGAATAAAACATGCCATCTTTGTTTTTCAGTTGATAAAAATCACTTTTGTCATTTAGAGATGAATATTATAGAGTCTCAGGACCAGAAATCTGCTTGGCCAAAGCAAAGGGATGTTGTGCATACATGGAGCCTTGACTTTTTTTTTTTTGATTTCTCTACAGAGTACAGCTTTCCAACATACAGTTTAACACTTTTGTTTTTGGAAGGCAGACTTTTTCTGTGTAACTCTGGCTATCCTAGAACTATCTCTGTCGACCAGGCTGACCTTGAACTCACAGAGGTGCATCTGCCTCTGTCTCCCAAGTGCTGGAATTAAGAGCATGAACAACCACCCCAGCAAATTTGTCTCCTGTAAAAGTATGCTAGTAAACATTTTAAAACCAACTCTCCTTCAAATATGGTTTTTGTAACCTCATTTACCTGCTTCAATGTCACCAGACACCAGTAACCTCTTAAAGATACCTTCAAAACATAACTTCTTACACATCACAATTCTTGTGTTTCAGTTGTAAATTTTTATTACATTTATTTATTTCGTGTGTGTGTGTTTCTGTGTATTTGTGAATATGTGAACATGCATGTGAAGGTCAGAGGACAACCTTCAGCAATCATTTCACTCCTCCACTGTGTGGGTCTTGGGGATTGAATTCATTAGGCTTAGTGGCAAATACCTTTACCTACTGAGCCACCTGTCAGACCTTTTTCTAGTTTTTGCCCAAGCATGATCCTTAGTAGACTATGAAGGACCATATTATAAATGGCACAAGTTGCCTTGTGTTTGTGGTTTTATTTTATTAATGATTTTTTGAGATAGGATATCATGTAGTCCAGGCTGGATACTAAATCTCTATGTAGCCAAAGCTGGCCTTCAATTCTTTTTCTTCTGGGTGCTGGGATTACAGATGTGCACCACCCTATTTATGTGGTGCTGGGGATCAAATCTTGGGTCTCAACAAGCTGGGGAAGCATTCTACCTGCTAATGAATAAAATAACATTGTTCTTAGTGGTAATATTAGAGATACATAGAAAATAAATTGGGGGAAATCGTACAGTTATTGTATAAAGAAAAATCATTTTCGGATTATAAGATATATGGGCAAAATAATTGGTTTTCTTGATACTGAGCAGTGATATTGTTGAGTTTACCATTTGAGATCTTGAGCTCCGATTGTCCTTGACAGATCGTCTCTGCTGTGCTTGCTGTA